TTGGAAACAGAACACTTTCCTTTTGAGTCAGTACTTTTATTCAAAGCAAGTGCTTGAATCCAAACTGATTGTACCTCATAGAGTTAGTCATGACAGCTAGATTTAAACACATTGTTGAATCAGAACTCTGGTGAAGATGTTACAGCCACAGTCGAGACTTTAGTCTGTAGTCTTAACAGAAGATGTCAGAAATCAGCAAAGGCGTACCCCGAAACACTTGCTCGGCATGCTCTGATGGTGCTTTTCATGTTTGTGATGACAGAAAAGAGACAGAAATATGCACTCTGCTGAGGGCTGACAGCTAAAAACGGTCCATCTGCCCATCTTTCAGCTCCAACCACAGCCTGTCTCTGAGACATGCTGTGATCACTTCACGTGGAGGAAGCTGGTGGCCGTCAGAACATTCTGACTTCAAACAGGATCATACAAGCCTGGTTACTTGTCATTATAATGTTAATTTCTTTCTTCTGAGTTTCTCAAGGATAAATTTGGTGGAGTTGTGCTTTGAGAATGGACGTTGAAGTTCGTTTTAAAGTCTTGACTCGCTCTTCTGATAGTTAATTTCTAACGTCATAGATGTGACTGAAACCAGTTTTTGATCTGAACGTGAAAATGACGGTGAAAGGACTGTAAAACAGCAGCAAACAGGGTTTTATATGGTGAACATGCAAACAGCAAACATCTCTTTGTCACTATTTTTGATGAATTTCAGTGAGTCCATTAAAGCAAACCTTAATACAAACAAGACAGCGGTGTTCATTTTCACTGGGTGATGTTTTCATCCAAAACATAAAAGGAGGATGTTGATCAGAACACACAATGCTAACGGCTACAAGCCACAGAGTTGTTAAGAAGTCTCAGTCATGACACTGTGAATACCGTTACTCCAGGGTGATCCGAAGCCAGAAGAAATCCTAACTCAGAGCAAAAAATGACAGCAACACTGAAAACTCACAAATAAATCTTCATCTCTTTGTGAATTATTTTTACATTTACAAATAAAGACTCACTGGGTAAGAATTCCCAGCATCATGGAGGTTTTGTTTTACTGTGAGCCTGCTTTGCTGAAATAAATCAGTGTACCTAAGGAATGACTTTACTTCCTGTTTCTGGTCTGCATCAGTCCCCGTAAACAGGACTTTGGCAAATGTCATTAAAATCTTAAAATTGATTAGCTACATTTTGCTTCCTGCAATAACTTTGTTTCTTATTAGAAAAAAAATACACTGGTGGCATTCATGTGTTCTGTTTTTGTTTTGCCAGAAGCTTTCGGGTAATGTGCTTTAAAAACGTACTACAAGACCCATGATGCAATGGGGCACCAGTTGTTAAACATCATATTATTACATCATCCACCAGAGACTTATTTTTTTATATTTAATGAGATTTGGCAATCATTTCAAGTTAAAACTTTTATTCAAAATGTTTCCAGGTTCTTATGACATTCATAATTGAACAGCATGCATTAGGTTAATTTGCGTGAGTGTGAAAAAATATTGTTAGAACAGTAAACTTCTCACGTTATAACTTGATATAGCTGGTTTTTATTTTGAAAGGGTGGCAGCAATATGCTTCATTGGGTTGCCAACTTTCTGAAACTAAAAAATAAAAAGTTGTTTGAACGGGAGTGGGAATAAAAAGTGTCCTGCATAGTGCCATTTACAAGATAAGTCTGTCTTTAAAGAGACAATGTGTAGTTTTTACTGTTAATCTCATATGTGATGTTTACTTCTACATGAGCTTGTGGTGACAAAATGCATTCATTGATTTGTAAAGATGGTTACAAAACTTCCACTATTTGTAAACGTTGTGTTACACAGTTACTTCTTCACTTGTTGCCAGAGTTGAAAGGGAGTCTGATGTGCTTGTTATTTTGCTGGAGGTTGCGCTCCCTGGGATTTTTGACCCTAATGGCCATCCATTGCTAAGGTCCTACTCAAACACAAAAATACTGCTTGCTTTCAACAATTTAGTAATGTACTGCCCCCTATCACCAGGGAAAAAACACATCATCACGTTAAAGGCTTCAATAAGTAAATAAAAGAAAACTAACAAAAAACTAAATAACTAAATGAAAAAAATAAATGTCTAATAAGTAGGGCTAGAATCCAGAGTTTACTACATAAGTTTTTAGGGGGATAAAAACAACAAAAAATGTACACGTACTATTTACCCAGTGCCAAAAATACAACAATGCTGTAGTTAAATAAAAATTGCAATCAAATGTACTGGTGTACCGTCTAAGATTTAAATTGAGGGAAAGAAATTGTGTCTTTATTATTCTGTCTTAGATGTAGATGTGGTTACTGAAAACATTAGTATAAGGGTAATAAATGACCAGAGAAGCTTTCACATATTTTAGAAGTACGAAGTTGAATGAAAACCAAAACTGCTTTACTTTTAAATAAATTTTGGAATGACTGAAGGTATTTTATTTCATGAATCATAATGGTCTGAAAAATGTGCTTAAATGTATTTCACTTGAATTTAAGTAAAGGAAACTTGCAGAGACTGTGTCAAACTAATTATTGTTAAAATAATGGTTCTCCAACAGCTTGTCCTTCTGTGGGGTAAAAAGGTCCCCATCGTGACTGAAAATTTAAAAAAGGTGTTATTTTCTTAAATATATAGCTTTCCAAGAAACCAGAAAGCATTCAACTAAATGGAAATCGTATTGGCAGAAGATGTGAATGATTGTAAATTGAAAGGTTTTCATGTTATCTGAACAAACGAGGTGGCTGCAAGTCAAATCCAAACAAAAAAATGAATTGCACAGTCACCGCAGCAATACAAAATATTTGGTTACTTTTATTAATATGAGATCAACGTTTTGGGGCTTTCTCATTGTCAATCAGGAAAAGATTTTTAACTACATTAAAAAGTCATTTTTAAAGGTGCCTTATGTAGAAAAGTATGGAGCCAAGATTGGGACAATATTACAAGTAACTTGTACCAAGCTTTGTAATTGTAACTTTCATTTAATATGTAACATGTAACTTATTTGTAACACGTAATTCTCATTTTGTAACATGTAACTTTCGTTTTGAAACACGTAATTCTCATTTTGTAACACATAACTTTTAGTATGTCACATTAAACTTTCATTTCGTAAATTGCAGAAGAAAATCTATGTACAAGTTTCAATCACAACTCTCAAAACACACTTCTCAGTCTACAAACTCAAGTCTACGCTTCCTTCCCAAAGAACAAATGACAGGCTTTGTCTTATCAGCCAACCACATGTCTCGGATATGAAACCCTGCTCTAATTCAAGATGTAGGTTCTTTATTTACATCTGTTTAATTTCCCTAAAAATGTTTTATGTAAGCAAGGAATCCAAGACACATGACAGGCTGATCAGACAAAGTCTGTCATTGGTTCTTTGGGAAGGAACGCTTGAATTTGGACTAAATGTTTTGTAACACTTAGATTTAAGTTTTGTAACTGTAGACAGAGATGTGTGTTTTGAGAGTTGTGATTCAAAACTTTCTGCATGTCAAGTACCAAAATTTACACGTTACAAAACGAAAATTACAGGTTGCATAACCAAAGTTACATGTTACAAAATGAGAATTACATGCTACCACACGAAAGTTACAGTTATAAAATGTGTTATAAGTCACAGAACTTGGTACAAGTTACTTGCACATTTGTCCCAATCCTAGCTCCATATATGAAGTAAAAATGTCATCCTGTGGTAAAATGTGGTTAATGCAACCACTTTAAACAACTCTGGAGCTTTTTGCCAGCCGCCATCAAATTACAATTGTCAGCGCTGCAGCATTAGCTCGCAGGAGAAACGGCAACCCCACTCACTGATGGTAAACAGTAGTTTCTTCCCTCCTTCCTTTGATTAGAAAGGAAAAAAAAGGACAATACCCACAGCCAGCTGAATACGAAATATATTTCAGATAACCTTCCTTCCAAAATGACTGGAACATTAGACTTTTGGGGGGTTTTTTTTTACTGTAAAATGCTCACTATATTCTTACATATTGCACCTTTAAATACTTTTCACTTTTTCTGGCTGTACTTGCACCTTAGGCTCTTTTACAGACAGGGACATGTCCAGGAAGTTGCCTGGGGTAGCACATGCTATCCCTGATATCTGATTGTTCACCCCGCTGAGTTCCATTTAAATTGAATTTACATTGTCAACCGAAGGCTTTGGGTTAAATAATTTGTCCCTCATCAAAAAAATAAAATAAAATAAAACTACCCACCTGGGCCACCCTATTTTACAAGACTTGGACACGCCACTGGATACAGATGTCAGTATTTAAATGCTTTAAAACCTGAAATTTAGCACAATTTTCACATTTTACTCTTGCAAAACTGAGTAGGGTTTGAATCAGTTGTGTATGAAATTATTCCACATTATTGCTGAATTAACATCAAAAATGTCCATTTGGTGCAATATTGGTCTTTAATTTCCTCAAACAGAACATGAGCGATGAGCTTTTGTTGTCTCATTCATATAGACCGTTGTATTAGTGCCCTCATTGTAAGTGGCACCCATTCCATTATATGTGAAAAACACCAAAGAAAATAATGCAAAAAGGTAAAATGATTCACTACTTATAGTTTTGTTGCCTGTTTTGATCTTTTGATCTGAATTCAGTATTTATGCAATAAGCACTATTTTCCCCACACCCTGAACAGTGAGTGAGTAAACATTGTGTTTTCTGTAGATATTCACAGTGACATGAGAGGGAAAACTTGCAGTTTGAATAATAAATACTTCAAAACTCCTATGCAAGTATCACCACTTGAACTAAACACGACATTGTTTTGATTCAAAGGCAGTCCTTAGCTTGTTATCTCTGAAGAGTTAAGGTGAAATATCAACCTCACTCTTAAATCATAATTTAATCATTGCCATCGTAACGATCCTGTGGGACAAAATCCTTCAAATCATTCTTTTTAAAACGAAGAGTTGAATCAAGAATTTTGCTCCAGTAAGTTGTTTAATTCATAAATTTGCTTTTTTCTTCCTACAGTTACACTCAGATGTTGACAAAGGAGAAGGGAAGGTGAAGTACGTGTTAACTGGCGAGGGTGCCACTTCTATCTTCACCATTGACGAGAACACTGGAGACATCCACGCTACTAAGCGTCTGGACCGGGAAGCCCAGGCTTACTACACCCTCCAAGCTCAAGCTATAAACAGACTAACGAACATACCTGTAGAGCCTCGGTCGGAGTTCGTGGTCAAGGTGCAGGACATCAACGACAACGAACCCAAGTTTCTAGATGGGCCGTACATGGCAGGAGTACCAGAGATGTCACCATTAGGTGAGCTGTCGCACTCGTCCCTTACACCATCACTTAACTTTATTTTTTCTTTTTTTGTTAAAGCTTAATCTCCAAAGTTCCTTTTCAACTATTGTCTCTCTTTCTCTTTGACTTGCCCTCACTCTAATATCTGCGTTTGATAATTTTCCACCTCACTGAATTCCTCTTTCTGTCTCGAGGTCATCAGGTGGGTTGGGACGTGTGCTGTGTTAATGAGTCCGACATGTTCACTTTGTCAGACTGAAAATGTACTTATCACTGGGGTTCAGTCTAAACCTTACGGAGCTCTGCTTGTTTATGGGCTTCACGTAAATCAGGGTCGAGGTTAAATTATTTTAATTTGGGCTTTCATTTGTCAGAAATGGTAGCTTTATTAAAAAACCCTTATCTGTCATGGAGATTTTGTAGCTTCTGTATTAATTTCATTTAGTCGTTGCATCTATTTTATGACGGGATAGATGGGCAATGGTGGCTAAAGGGTTAGAAGTTCACCCTGTAACCGTTGGGTTGCCTGTTTGAAACCAGGCGCTGCTTGTGTCAGTCGTTGTGTCCTTAAGCAAAAAGCTTTGTTCTCCTTGCCTGCTGGTGGTGGTTGAAGGGACCGGTGGTGCCTGTGACAGCCTTGCTTCTGTCAGTGTGCCCCGGTGTAGGTTTAGTGCATTAGAATTAGTGTGTGTGAATGTGTACGTGAATGGGTGAATTGCTTTACACAAATGTAAAGCAGTTTGGAGTCCTCTGAATTACAAAAACAGTCACTTATTATTTACATTTCTGAAAGTAAATAGAGAATGGCTCAATGAGCCGTATCTGAACTTCTTTTCTGTAATGTGGAAAACAATGGCTGAATTTTGGGCAAGGGTCAAGGATATTTAGGTTTAGGTCATACAAAAGTGTAACAAGTTGAACCATGAGTAAGCAAAGTCTGTACTTTAATAGCACTTTCCCCAAAAGAGCCGGCTCCACTTCACTCAGATTTGGTAGGAGTCCCATTCGAATAGCCAGTTTTTTTTTCCACGTGCAACCGATTGTTTATTCAGCCCTCTTCCCAAGGCAGTCTGCTTCGCACTTAACTGATCCCTCACACCCTCTTACGGGTGTGAGGGATCAGTGAGGATTACAAATGTAACGCGATCGTTCATGTCGGCTCATTTCTTTTTATGTTTTCTGTCTTTTATTTGTGCCTGATGCTTTTCGCTGCTGTGGAGCGGGGCGCATCACCTGTTTTGTCCTCCGGTGACGCACCTAACTGATGTGGCCGGCGAGCAGCGCACACTCCGCTGTTTTAGGGGTCGGTAGATCTTTTAGAACTGCAGTTCAAAGGTAACTCATGAGGTGAATATATGTGAAGGCAGGTAGCAGTTTGTCTTTAGGATTGAGAGGAGATGCAGGAAGATAATAAACAGACAGGACAGAAAAATAGTCAAATAAAAACAAGTTAGTTTTTGTACCTGGTGGTTGCAACAAACAGACACCATTGAAGGTAATCAGAAGTGAGGAACAGAAAATGAAATAATTATTTTAATGTTTAGAGCAGCAGGAACTCTGAGAGGCTGCAGGCGCATCAGTGAGGTTGCGGCCGCTGCACAGGGGGAGGGGGGAGAGGGCTGAAGCAGAACAGTATATATGCAGAAACTACCGTTGTTAAAAGAGATGTGTTTAACTTTGAAAATGTGGGCGCAATTTTAATTGTCAAAACTCCAGCGAACCAACCAAATCCCCCCTCCCGCACTGCTTCAGGTGTATGACGTCATCAACGACTAGTCAAAGCCGACTTGATTTTCATTACTTGACTGCCGACTTAAAAAAAAATTAAGTCATGCAGCCCCTAACACACACACACACACACACACACACACACACACACACACACACACACACACACACACACACACAGAGAGAGAGAGAGAGAGCGCTGCCAGGCTTGAGCTGCCCTACAGGAGGACAGACACAGCAGTCTGGATGAGATATCAGAGTCAGACTCTACAAATGCAACACTGCTCACGACTGTCTTTCCATGCGTCTTTTGCCTCGTCCATGTGCTCAGAGATTTCTACTTTCTTGGGAAGTGTGTGTGAGTGAACAAACCCTACCGATGCAGGACCCGGACCCAATGCAACCGCACTGGGCCGATGTGGAAGCAGCATAAGTGGGCTGGTATGGAATGGTACGCAATACCAGCACCTAAACAGTTTGCCAGGACTCCTCACTAGCATACCGTGCTTACCGGTTCTCTTTCCGAACATCTATAACTCTAAATCTCTCTGTCCCATGCATGTGGCAAAATAGCTAACTAGCTAACTAATTAGCTAGCTAGCTAACTTTCTTGCTTACTTTTGATCTTCGTCTAGGAAACAACAAAAGTAACACACTTTTATTTAGCTTTATTCATCTGTTTTTCTTATATTTTTTTAGGTCCTCATTTAATTATATACATCTGTTAAAAATGTCCATATTATAAGAAATGGTTGTTTTAGCTGAAAACTGAATTTAAGGACTTCATTTTTTTTCTTCTACTTTTCTTAGAGTAAAATCAAACTACGTCTAAATATTTCAATCATGGTCATGTGGTAAGAAATGTTTTCTTTTTTCATTTAGTTTAACTGAGATGTGCACAGCCATGTTAAAAAAAATGAAATTAAATTTGCTATATGTAAAAAAATACTTGTATGTGTCCCTGACACATTTTTAGCTACTGCACGTAGATATGGTGGTATTTTTGTTTTTAAATGTATTCTTTTAGGTCAGATGATCCCAAAACAATGTTTTGCACAACCTACAACAACAACAACAACAAAAAAAAAAAACATTATTTGTCTAAGTTTGTCTCCTACAAACCTAGTAGTTATTTTTCTGAACACAGCAGCATTTAATATTCCAGATATTCTATCTGTTAGCCTTAAAACACTCCTGAAGGACACCGTATCAGACCCGGTCTGTAAGTGGCTGCACGGTCAAGATTTCCTCCAAGGTTTTGAACCAATCACCCTCACATACAAAATGTGAGTACATGCAAATGAGTGACAACAACAACCTCGGGCCTGTCAGTATAACAGGTATTTGCGGAGTGCAGCACAGAAGTGGCCTTCAGCGGGTGCTTTTATCTTAAAAGGGTTTATCAGGTTACTAAGCTGACTTCAAATGTTTTACTTTTAGTGGAACTTTGTCCAGAGTGATCTACAGTTTCTCGAAGAACTGAAACAGTTTTAACGTTAATGCAATAACACAGCAGGTGAATTTCAGAGCAGATTTTAAAAGTTTACCTAAAAAAAAGAACTTGGCAGAAAAAAGGTAGCACTAAACACAAAGAGCAGTTTCTTGAGAGACCAGACTGCATTGTGAGGTGTGCATTTGATGGGATGTAATTTACATATTTATCATTTCAAATATGCCAGCACACACCTCTAGGCTTAGAGATGTTGATGAGTGACGCATGTTTGAAAACTAACTTAAGGTCTAAATCTGTCCTGAAGCCCATGGGCATTTTTCCACAAATTGGTCTTCATATTAGTCAGTGCTTTTCAAAAACCTGCCTGGTGAAAATTTCAGATTCTAATGAACAAATTTTTATCCATCCATTAACTTGCTGCTTCACCATGACAACACAGTGAGGGAAAAGCACACAGACAGCCTTAACTTCCTCCAACTCCTCCTGGGGGTTCTCAAGGAGCTCCAAGGCATGCTGGGAGCTGTGGTCTAATCACAGGTGAGCCATGACTGGCGATGTGGATGCCAGGGGTGCATATTTGTCTCACTGAAACAAGGAAAACATTTGTATTCAAGTAAAAGTGAAAATAAGCACTAAAGTAACTCTTTTGTTTTGGTGACTTCTAACTAAGACAACAAAAAGGAGATTTAGGTATTTTTATTCTACTTTGGAGCATTAACATAAAGCTCATTTGATCTTTGTTCAGCAAAGACCAACACATTTGTTGCCATCATAAAACAACCAATCTCCAATTTTCTAAATGTCCTTGCGATTCATGCAATGCTATTCCATTAACATCCACAGAACTGCCAATTGACCATCATTGATTATTTGGAAATTAATTATTTACAAGCATCCATTCATCAAGTACAGAAGAAAGTTAATATTTCAGCAGAAATAATCCTGCTTTGTAAAACTGATAAATGACATTTAAGTACGTACAAAGTCTCTTTTTGTAGTGGAAGGGAATTAATCCTAAAGCAAACACTTGTACGGTGAAGATGCACTTCATTGCACCTGAGAAATTCTAGCACTTTCCAGGCCTCTCTCCAGATGTTTACTGAGCTCTGGGAATGGGGCACCACCAGTGCAGCCAGCAGCCATGTTTGGGAATATCGGCACACAAGAAGATGTCCTGATGTCAAGAAGGACAACATCCATTATTCCATCCATTTTCTTCCACTTATCCAGTGTCAAGTCGGGCTGAGAGGCCCAGACTTCCCTCTCCCCACTTGGGCTAGCTGCTTGAGGGGAATCCCAAGGTGTTCCCTGGCCAGCCGAGAAACAAAGTCCCTCCAGCAGGTCTTGGGACTTCCTTAAGGTCTCCTCCTGGTTGGACATGCCTGGAAAACCTCACCAGGGAGGCATCCTGGATGAATCCTAATCAGATGCCTGAGCAACCTCTACTGAATCCTCTCAATGAGGAGGAGCAGCAAATCTTCTCCGAGCCCCTCCTAGATGACCAAGCTTCTCACCCTATCTAAGGGAGAGCCCAGCCACCCTGCGGAGGAAAGTTATTCCGACCGCTTGTATCCACGATCTCGTTCTTTCGATCACTACCAAAAGCTCGTGACTGTAGGTGAGGGTTGGAAAGTAGCTCGACCAATTAAGCAAAGATGCCATTTTTCCTCCAAGAAAACCGCTGGCTCGTGTGTCCTGTTGAAAGTAAAGGATCCTGAGACCATTCACATGTGGGATTAGTTTGCAGCAAAGGGAGTTGATTTCATACCACTGTAAAAAGAAAATGACCCAAACAAGGAACTCCTCCAAACCATCCAAGAAGGGTTTGTTGATG